GGCCTTTTAGACCTATAGTATATAGAGTATTTTAAGGCCGGCGAAATCGCGGAATAATTTAGGAAAATCCTTAATAAAATTATAGTAATAGTAAAACATATATGAAAACGCTATAAAGAAAATACTAATGCCTATTATTTTAATATATTATAGTACCGCCTTAGGAATAAAATATTCTATAATATTATAAACCTTACTACCGGCCGCCCCTAGGCGAAGTTATTACTCCTATAGGAGGGGCCTTTCGAAGTAATTATAATTAATAACTATTATATTATATTTAATTTGCCGCTAAATATAAAATACAGTTATATTTTCTATATTAGTATAATAAAATTATAAATAGAGGAAGGCATATTAAAATAAAATAATACGTAGAATATTCGGGCTAATTAAGGGAGGGTAACAAAATATATTAACGATATCAAGGATATAATTAAACAGTCTTTTAAAGGAATTAACGCTTACCGGTTTAAAAATAATAAATAGGAATATTACATTATTTAGAATAAATTATACGTACTAACTTAGGAATTAGTTAGTAATATAGAGTATTATATCGATATTTTCCGCGAATTTTATAATAATAATTCGGAGTTCCCTATCCTTCTATAGTAGACTATTATAAAAAAGAAGTACAAGTACGCTACCCGGACCTTAAATAAGGTTTACAACCGTACTAGACCGGGGCCGTTAATAGTAGCGCCGGCTGTAAAACGGTCGCCCCAATGCGTAATACCGGCTATAAATACCTTTAAGAAGGTTATAAGTATAGTAATAGAAGGCTTTAAGTCCCTAGAGGAGGAGGATTAGTAAATTTTCTTCTATATATTTTAATCCCCGAAGGCGTTTTAAGCCCGGGGTAATATTATAAGGCTAACTTATAACTATTATTTGGTTGTAGTATTACTACGGCTATAATTGCCGGTTAATGTACGCTCTCTAATTGGCTAATCTATTCAGCCTTACTACTGCTATAGCGGCTACTGGGCTAATGCGGGCCCCATAATTGGCTACACGCTCCCGGAGGCTCCGGTTATATATGCTAAGGATGCGGCTCACCCTCGCCTATATAGGATAAGCCGCCACGTATAGATTCTATAGTTTCCCTTCTTCCTTGTGCAATTACACAAGTCATATTCTACCCCATACGTTCAGTATCGCCTTGCCCCGTGAGAGTTGGGTATATCGCCGAAGTTAAGGTTATTTTCATTACTAAAATAATAAGGATCCCCGTCAACTGTTTAATTATTCAGTTATAATATATACGATAATAATTATCAGTAATATATATTTTAAATTATCTTTATTTATACTAGGGATATTCTTCTAGGTTATCTTCTCTTTAAGTTGCTTTAAATATTTTATTTATATTGAAGTCGCTATTAGGAAGGGCTCTTGTAAGCAGGTCTTAAAGTTTTTAATATAGCGGGTTCTATTTAAACTCAATACCGGCAAATCTAAGAAATTATTAAAATTATAGCAGAAAAGGTAGTATAAATTATTTAAGATCGGGTAGAATATTTCGTACAATAAGAGTACGATATACCTAATATTATATTAGAAGACGGGGTAGTAGTAGTCCATATTTATTAAAAGGTAGAGAGGGATTACGATAATACTAATTATAATATTCCTTCTCTTTATTATTATCAATATCGAAGAATAACCCCCGTATGAATACCCTTCGACAACGTATATAAAACTTATTCTCGAGGTCGGTATTACTATATAGTACACCTAGCCGGTAATATTTATAAAAATTAAACTCGATATACCTATTTACTATAGCCCGGGCAATATTATATACTACATAAAAGAAATAATTATCTAGGTCTAGGCTCGAATCTAGATCTAAATCTAGGTTAGGGTTTTAGCCAAAGTTGAAATTATCATCTTCCATATTATTATTTATATTGTCATCCTAATTATTATTCTAATTATTTTCCCTACCATAAATACTAGTATTATATCATCTTTAACTATCGAGGGAAGGTGTAATTAAAATTTATTGACCGTTACAACGATAACGACAATAATTATACTAAATCTAATCAATTTAACGGCTGGCTACAGTAGTATTAAGAAAATCCTAGACAGAAAATATAGTTAAAAAATACATCTATATACATCATTTCAAATAAATATGCCTACGAATTCTTTCCCGCAGGAAAAAAAAGTATAATTGAACGTATAATGCGATTTCGATCTTGAAGCCATCTATGAATATCAATAATTCTTCGAGATTATTATACTAAGGCCAGTACTAGGGCCGGTGCCGGGGCCGGGGCTAGGGGTCTTTGGCGCAGTATAAGCATAGGGGGTACTATGAATAGTACTATCGGTGATACTATAGGTAGAAATAACTATAGTACCCGCTCTAGTAACTTATTAAATTCTTCCTTATAATATTTATATTAAAGTCGAGGTAGTAATAGTCTCAATTGGAGAGGGGCTAGCATTTACTATATACTAGTTACTATACCAATCACTATACTAGTTGCAGTCGGTTAGGAGGAGGGGATAGTTCGGTAGTATTTCTCTTCTTACAGTAAGCAACCTATTAGCAATAGGACATTAATTATTTAGGGCAAGCCAACTAATACTACCTAAGTCGCACCCGTAACCCCCCGCAGCTCAGATCGTAGTATTATTTATTATTAGGCATCCCATTTACCCGCAGGTAGTAAAACAATACGGCATATTAGATTCATAGTAGGATTTACGCATTTTGAAGGATTTACTATCAAATAGACAGCACCGGCTAATTAGTAAGGGGAATATTGGATAGGGATAGAGCGGGATTTAAGAGAAGTATATACTTACCTCTATTTATTTATGAGAAACTCTACTCGCACGTTGAGAAAACTCTATTCGCACGTGGATAGAAAAGGGATTTTCAACGTCTTGTTTCGCACTCGAAGTTATATAAGAAGAACTTAGAAGATATATTAGATTTCTTCTTATTTTTTTCTCTATCTAAAACTGCTACTCTTGAAAGCACCCGTCCTCAGTAGCTGTGGAAAACTTTGGAGAAAGAAAGGGATAATAAGTAGATTATTAGAAGAATTTAATATTTGAAAGTTAAGAAAAGTAGGATTTGGATAACGGTTAAGGCTATAAACTCGGTATTAATTTTGAAAAATCCATCGAAAATCGACGAGTCGTCTGGTACTACACTCGACTTTTTATACCAAGATTTGGCTAAGTTATACTTAAGAAAGCAAAAGTACATCCACGTGCGAATAGAGTTTTCTCAACGTGCGAGTAGAGTTTCTCATTATTATATTCATCGATCCGGCGCTTTATTATATTGAGGAGGCTAAAGCTCTGCGTAATAGTTACAATAATTAGACTATTGCCTATATATGGAAAGATAATTAGTATACTATATAATATATAGGGTATAATATAGTTCAATATAATAGGTAAGGTTGGGAGTTAGAGAGGGTATAGGAATCAGAGAGTTGGGGGATATAATTATTACCGCTAATAATAAAACTCTTCAAATTTCGGTTGGCTGATTCGATTGGCGATGTAGTATGGTAGTTAAAATTAAACCTCTCGTTAATATAGTAGGTAGCCTACTCCTCTTTAATTGCTATATACGTTCTTTTAAGTACGTAATAACCGCAGTCCACTACCTAAAGAAGCTCTCGAATCTCTCCTAAATAGTATTAAATATTTTAATTATATAGGTATAGTATATATACTTTCAGAAATTATAAAGACCAGTCTATAAATACTCTACAGTATTAGGGAGAGCGCCTAATTGAGCCGTACTATTTCCTAACTTATTTATACATATAACAATATACTAATCCTCTTCGTTAAGCTTATTTAAAGTCGTTATATTACTAGGTAAATGCGTTAATTAGATTGGCTGGGTCGATTGGGCTACTCGCTAGGTCGATGCCGATATTTCTTATTGTATTTGTATAGTAATTATATCGGCGTAGGCGTAGCTAACCTGGGCAGTAACCTTCTTATTCCATTTATATTTAATATTTAATACTATATTCTTATTAATATAAAAAATATATAATTAGGAGGGTACATCTAAATAGACTCGCGTAATGGCCGCCCTTATTACTAGATTGTAATTTATAATAGTAACCGTCGGTATACTAGCGCTAATAGCTTTACGACGAGTATTAACTTAATTTATTAACTAATTAAATCCCTCTTGCCTCTCGTTATTAATGAAATTAAAGCCGTAGTTAAAAGTATAGCTAATTCTAATTATACTAATAATTTAGAAAAAAGCTAGGCCTCTATTATTCGTTTTATACGTATAATTGTATATTTAAACCTAAGGATTTTCCTTCCATATTTATTCTCCCTATAAATTACTCTAGAAGAGGGCAATCGGTTTACTCTTTTAAAAAGTATTTACCTAATTAACTTTAAAGTAGACCCCCTTCTCTATAAGTAGCTTTATAGTAAGCTGGAAGGGGTTATACCCCATATTATACTGCCGCTTGAGAGTATATCGAAGATTCTCTAGCTGTTTGGTCGTAAAATGAAACTCAGAGGACTGGTTATACAATTACTTAGTAATCTTACGATTCCTAGTAGTAGGGCGGTTTAAGTACTAGGCGATAAAAGTTTTATATTTTATTTGGAAGACCCTATAAATCTATACTATTTTACTAGGAGGATAGATATATATATTATAGCTATTTTTAACCTTAAAGGTCCATTGTTTAAAGTTTATCTTTAATACTTTAGCGACCCCTTTCTAGGAATATTCCTATTTAGCTATTGATATTGTACGACTATAGGCTTTAGATTTACGGATTTTACCAACTAAGCATATAAAATCGACCCTAGAGGGACCAAAATCTTTAACAATATTGGTTAAGCGTATCTTAATTAGTTAATAACCTATTTCCCTACCCTACTACTTAATAACCACAACGAACTTATCGAGAGTATTATACTAGGTTGTAAAAACAATATAACGGTCGTTGTAAATACCGTTACTATTAGGGTTACCGTTATCGTTATTAAGATTGATATCTATAGGCTCTATTGGCTAGGCTGAGGTGGGCTCGACTAGGGTAGTGCTTATTAGTAGTCTTAGATTGGGGTCGATAAGGGTAAGGTCGATTACTTAATTGGGGTTACCCGTACTACAGTCGTACGCGCCCGTCGGTTGGGGGGTTGTTGTATTAGCTATTTATATTACAATTAACTAGGGAAATATACTAAAAAGTAATACATCAATTCTTACCGTCGATTAAATAAGAGTACTTTATTTACTTTAGTAATAATTAGTAATACGCGATATAGTAGATTAACTAATTAATTAACTAAGGGTAATGTGTATAGTTTAGTAGAAGAAGCAATACAATAAAGCACATACCAAAATAATCGCTAAATTAGACTAGCTGAATCTAGGTGGCTAGTACAGTACAAGGGTGGCTAGTACAACCCCCAAATGGGTATAATAGGTTGAAATCTAGGAGCTTAGCGGGCGCGGTACAAGCAAAACTAGTGCAGGTCGGTCAGGGTTGTACAGGGTTAGGGTTATGTGTAAGAAAAAAGGTGGATCCACGTGCGGATAGAGTTTTATCCACGTGCGGATAGAGTTTCTCTTTATATATCTAGTATAACTATATACTATATATAGTATTAGAGAATTTAATAACCGAATTGAGGAATGGATATACTTTTAGTACATTAGATTTAACTACTTCCTTTAATACCTCAATGTTGGCTAAACCCTTATTTTCTGTACTACTACGATCGGAACGAATAAAGAAAGCCGACTTCGAATTAATTTACTTATATATTAAGGTATCGAATATAACGAATAGGAATTAGTAATATTAAGTAAATTGTCCGTTATACTATTTGAGTATATGCGTAATATAATCCGTATAATTAATAGATTATATACGAGGTTTAATATACTTAGTTTTTCCTTTTAGGTAGAATATAGGAAATATTTATAATAGAATTAGTTAAGATTTATCTTATTGATATATAGAGTAATTCTATAATAGGCTAGGTTTAAGGAAGGATTAAGTTGGAGGGTATTGGCTAATGGATTGAAGTTGAGGTTGCGGAGGTTGGCTGGCGGGTTAATTATATACTAGTTAAACCGGTACGGTATTTGGTATATTTTGTTCTCTATTTTATAATTATTGACGAAGTTGCTTTACATTATTTGATTGGTAATAAAGTTAGGAAGGGCGGCGATTTCCGGTTCAAAAGTATTATTTTCTTTTTTACTAGTATTACTATTCTCTTCTTTATTTAAATTGAGATCTTCGTTATTCGGAAAATTATTAGGATTAAGTTTATAAATAGTTAATTTATTGTATATATCGCCGTTAGGAAGTATTTCTAATTCTTTAAATCGAGCTTCTACGATTTTGATATTTTAGTATTTAGGGTAGTGTTCCTTTAAATAATTGAGTTGAATACGAAATTTAATAGGATTAATTATTATAGTTTATTTTATTTATTAAGTAATACGGGGTTTATCCCTAGGTTTGTAGGGTCGAAGAATAATAATATTCAATTCCCGGGGAAGTCGAGGTAATTGGTAGTAAATGTAACTAATATTACGAAGGAAATTGATAACATAGATAGAATATTTATACTAGAAACCTTTAATAATCTAAATATTTATAAAAATATAAATTTGGGTAATAAATTATTCTTCAACTTAGTTGAGGGGTAGTAAGAAGTCGGGAATATTCCTAAAATCTAGGTTATTTTAGGTATTAAAATATTTAAGATTATTAGGAACCCTCCGGTCGTTATAACTATAATATTAATAGTAATACCCGGCGGTTATATATATATATTAAACTACCTCTTTTCATAACGTAGATACTGTTCTATAGTATTTTCTTTCTATACGGTCTTAAAAGTTTTAATTAAATTGTAATTAATATTAGTAATACCTCTTATTAGGAGGTCTTCAGGTTAATATAGTAAATTCCATTCAAATTCAACGCCGGGAAGTCCGGGGAATTGCCGAGGCCGGGGGGGGGGGGGAATAGTGCTAGTTATTTAAAATTAGGCTGTATATCCGGATTTCTCTAAGGCGGACTACGACCTCGGTGAAGTAGTAGAGGCCGGGGTGAGGGCGGTCTATTAGAAGGAGGTAGGAGACTATTATTATAAATTCGATATATATTATAAAGTTCAAATTCTTCCCTATTGAAATTGGAAAATAACTTTCATATTAATACCTTCTGATACTATAAATAGGATTTATTTTCGAAGTCGGTATTGCTGTATAGGGTATTTCATTAGTAATATTTGTAAATATTAGATTTAATATATCTGTTTATTATATAGTCCCAATGATATTATATATTAGGTAAAAGAAATAATTGTTTGGTTCTAGGGTTAAGTTTGGATCCGAATTTTGGTTGGGGTTCTGGCTAAGGTTGAGATTGTTATTTTCTATATTATGATCCTAATTGTTATTCTTATTGAATATATTATAGGGCTAGCGCCCGGATTATGGACTTTAGTCTCTGAGACTAAAGCTATTATTAGCCACAGTGGCGTAGAGCGCGCAGCCCCAATAAAAACCTCTCAGCGCCAGTAGATCCGCATCTCAAATAGATTTTTCCTCCTTTATAGAACCTTAATCGAACTATATAACTAATACCCGTATTAACCGTACTATTACCGTTATATTAGGTTCTATTAACCGATAGAACCGATAGATTAAAATATACTGCAGCTATAGCAATAAGGGTAATAGTACGCTATATCGAATGCAGAAGAAGAAATAGCGCAATAGGTAGAAATTTAACGAATAGAGAAGGATAATTTTATTAAAAATATATTTACGAGCGTAGCCTTTACTAATGCTATTAAAGCCGCCGTTAGTATATTGCTTACTACCTAAGGAGTATAGGGTAACCCCTAAGCGCCTACTTAAATAATTACCTATATAGTTACTATTACCCCTAATATTACAATTAGTGCTACTTAAGAAGCTACCCCTATTATTACTCCTAATATTAAATATAAGAATATCCGTTAGCCGAAGTAGGACGGATCTATTTCGACTTTCTCTCCATTCTGTATACGGCTACGCTTTATATATAAAGAAAAGAGAGTAATTAGAATAATTTCTAATTATAAATAAAGATAAATAATACTATTTAATATATTCCCTAACGATAAATTAACTAAAATAGAAGCTTTCTAGCGCTAGAAATATATTAACGACTCTTACCGTCCTATTAATTTATTTTATTATTTAGAATTAATCTTCGGTAGTAAGAATAAGAAATAATTCGTATTTATTCGCTTACGAACTATTTACTAGTATAAGAACCAAAGCTTTACTAATTTCTTCCTAATCTTAGAAAAGAATTTAACAAAAGCGGGAGGCCTTAAAGAGGAAAACGAATTTCAATTTACTTAATTAGATACCTCCATATCTAATACTCCATATAATTGATTAATCTTAGTCCGGATGCCCAAAACGTATTACAAATATATAGAAAACTTAAAAAATATTACTTAGTAGTTCGAAGCGAACCGAATCTTCCATAAAATTAGTAGGAGTAGTAAGGGAGGCGCTAACTACTAC